TCAGTTATCGAGTTCGTGTTCACGATGCTAGAATTCGGCCTGAGAAATTTATAGCCAATCAATGTGCAACTTTTACGAAAAAGCAGCAATTTTATTAGCTACACATTGCTCAGACCGAGATTTTGGATCGAATTCTAACATCGTCGACACCATAGCTTTACTGACAATCTGACAGATGTTTGGCAGCGACCTCTCCCGAAAAATTTTTCTCTTCTTCTAGACTTGGATTTCTGGACGTTTATTAGAAGTAACCTTTTTTTCTAGGCTATTAATCTTAGTCCTAATTGCACGATATGTTGTTAAGTGTACCAAAAATTAGTAGAATTTTTAAGTTCTTTTCGTTTTTGATATAAAGTCGACCAGCATAGTCTAGATTTCGCTGCGTACTTTAATTCCGTGAAGTCTTGCATTTCTATAAAGCCAATTAAAAGATTACTTCTAACAAAGAATGTCGATAAAACAGACGGCTTTAGGATGCCCTTAAACGTCGCAATCGTGTTTCGAGCCAACGATCATCTCTCACAGGTCGACAAGTACAATCGATATCCACTCTACACATGTAGATCCTCTCGCGAAAGCGAGAAGAAGTCTACATATCGAAAAATGTTTCCCTCTTCTCACGAGATTCGCAAGTCCGAATCCACAATTCTCAAGATGAGATCCCTCGAACGCGGCCAGATGGACAGGCGGATAGGCGGTTATAATGGCGATTCTAATCTCACGCTCGCATCGCGTACAATGGCATGTGTCTTTCGTGTACGTAAACTGCAGGCACAGGGATGCCTGAGAGCTCGCACATTCGCACATGCACGTGCATATAAACGCGAGTGTACCTCGCTACCGGGGGATCTGCCGGTGCGACGCCGTATGCAAACCCGGACCAAACATCTCGCCTGTCTCGAGACCGGTATACGACGAGCTCGTATACATAAGCGACGTAAATACCTCGGCATTCCGCGATGTTGAGGCAATATGGAGTGCCAACTTCCTGCGGCCATACATACCGCTCGTATTCCGATAGCGTGCCAAAATGTGGGAAATGCAGATAGAGCTGTTAGCCTGCACTCGCCTCTGCGAAGCGGCGCGGGCGGTCGCGAAAGCGCGCGCGATGACACGCAGACCCGATCGGAGAGGATGAGGGCCCTGTTGACGGAACGAACTCCTCGCGTTCTCGCGAAAACGTACGAGTTCAAGAAGGGTTTTTCAACGCGGGTAGCTCTCAACCGGATCGTCTCTCCCGCGTTTTGTAGTTTTTTAAATCCACACGCAGGAGGTTGCAGCCACGCTGTTCCAGCGTTCTCAAGACTCTCCTGCGAGGCTTCTGCTGCCGCTGACGCGATCGATCGCCCGAGGAGTCGAGACCGTCGACTGGCTCTTTCACGCGAATATGTTCCGTGAAACGAGATTTTTCACGGCGGACTAACCGACTTTGATAACGGCCACGTCGTAACTATCATTTTCTGGCGACCAGGAAATCTCGTAGGCCCTCGCGAAAGGGCGACTCCTCTCCGCCGGGAGACTAGAAATTGATAGGACAATCTGGCTCGGGCGCGCGAAGGTGCTGTAGACGTCTGAAATAGCGCGAATAGCTCACTGTAAAAATTCACTGTTTTATTAAAACAGAAAGTTTTCACGCAACAACGGAGTCGGCGCGCTGATAAATCGACTCTATTCTTCTTTAGGACAGTTTGAAACTTTTATATATTCTGGATTCGCGTCGTAAAGCCAAACGCACATAAAGTTCTATATTTCGCCGAGAAGATATTTCTTAGATATTGAAAGGGAATACGTGTATATTTATTTGCGCGGCGTCTTCCACTGTCGTTCCTCAAAAACGCCCTCCCCCCGAATATTTCAGATAAGCTCCGCCGTCATAAATAATGCGCCGCTCCCCTTATCATCTCCCGTAATTGAGAAGTCCGCTAATCTTACTTCTTTGTTTGACAATTTTTGTTCTTTCTCGTATAATTCGGTTCGTCTCGCGATATCACGTAGGTTAAGCAAACGATCAGGCTCTCCCCTGAGCGTAGAGGAAAATCTTTACGTGCCTTCGAGGCTGTTTCCTCAAGATACGATAACGGCTCTCTCTCTCTCTCTCTCTCTTTCTCTCTCACTTCCGCGCGTATTGTATTCGGCTCGCGAGCTCTTTTTTCATACCTAAGCAAAGTATATACCCCCAGACGATTTATAGTATCGCTACTCGACAAACCACTGCGGCGGAGATAAGGGTGGCCAGATAAAATCGATCGGAAAAAGGTACTCCGCCGAATTCCGCACGAGATATCGGGAGACCCCTAATGAGAATCCTATCTGGATCGCGACTTGAAGATAGAAAAGATACTCGACAACAAGCCGACTCCAAATTGGCGGCCGAGCAGCTCTTTCACGTAGAATATACCTAGGTACAGACGGACAGGATAGTCGCAACACTTTTTTCTTATTAGTTGTGGAACGCGCATTTTGGTTCAGGTCCCAAAACATTTTCTCTGCAGAAAATTGTACTCGCTCTCTAAAAGTCAATCAGTGGATTATCACTGGAAACTGATTTGCAGTTATACGAGGGTGGGTGAATTGAAAATTTTTGAGTCTAACATAGAAACAATTTATTTTTCGACATAGTCTCCGATGCTCCAACCACTTTAACCCATCCAAATAATAGTTGGCGTCTTGCTTTGCAAAACAGACATCATACGGATGCTATGATCTCCTCGTTCGATGAAAATTTCTGTCTTCCGAGCCAAACTTTGAGTTTAGATGTGAGTTTTCTTAGAGATTCCAGTCTCAATCGAGTAAAATGTTGGTTAAGGCAAGGAAATCATTTCTTTGAAATTACGTAAAAGTCCAGCAAGGCCAAAATTCGAAGAAAATTTGTTTGATATTTCAAAGAGACGTTTTTCTGGGTGCAGGGAGGTTCAAACCCTGATTGAGATAATGTTTCGCGCAATAAATTAAAAATTATTTAGACACTAACATCCCGTTATGGCTCTTCAGTCCTTATTCCTTCGAATTTGTGTTTATCACACGGGAGCCTTATGAACTTTGTTAATTTGTTAAGAGAAAAAATGCTCTGCAACCATTTTGCCCATCACTGATGCGTTTCCATTATGAATTCACAGGCACATGTGGAGCACGCATACATTTTCCATGCATGTACATGCAAAATGTATAAATGCGCTGACGTGTGCGCAAATTCATACGGGAAGGCATCAGTGATGCCTAGTGTACATTCCTAAATAAGCGCCGTACGTTCGGCCGCAGCGTTAATTCAAGAGCAAACACGTGTCACGACAACTAATTGGTAAAGCTTAACGATATTACGACAATTCGATTTGCCGAGGAATCTTCGTATCGCCGCAGGAGATTAACTGCATTTCGTAATTCGTGCTACGGCCCCAAACCACGCCAGCTGGGCGAGCCTTTACGCGCGCGCATTATCCCGCATTATCTGCCCCTGACGTCCGGCGATATCGCAAATTCTCGATAATCCACCGTCCGCTATTATTGCACCTAGATTTCGACCACGGACAATATTCCCGCAGCGTTGCTTTCCTCGCGAGACAGTACAACGAGTGTTCGCGCAATTATCTAAGACCTAGACTATAAAAAAAAAGGAAACAGAAAGAAACGACGAACTCGAAAGAGATTCGGAACGTGTCCGCGAAGAATTCCAAAGAGATTAGAAGTTGGTCGGAAAAGGAAGTAGCTTGAAAACCGACACTTCTCGAAGAGTTTCGTTTTTTTTTAATGGAGAAAGCTCTCGCGAATATTTATTTGAGATTTGTGTAATTCGCCGGAATCAACATTCGGTAAAAACAGGTTATTAGGAACGGAGGTCTCCCGTATGTTAAGTGACTCGTTTACATGATATCATTACGACGTTTTTAGCATCGCTAAGGAGAAGATACAGAGACGACTCTCCGGCGGCTATGAATTCTACATCGCGTGTGGGAAAATCTTTCTCACATTTTTTTTTCTTGTCCCTCTCGAGGCAGACGCATTAAATATTAATGAGGAAATTGATAACGAAGCTAAAGTGTCAGCGTAGCCGAATATGACGCGCGGTGTATTAAATTATAATCTTTATTACGTGAAATACAATATCTAATAAATTGATAATAGCCAGAGTACACTTAGCCTTTTATATCCTACGTAAAATGCATTATCCGTACATAAAATAGAATGTCTGTCCGCGTGTTCCCTATCGCTCCTAAACCCTTTGATCAATCTAAATCAAATTTTATTCACTGCGGCCTCGCAAAAATATAGGCCGTCGTCAGAAAAGCTTGGACGTCCCTGATTTCACTCTCTCGGCACACGAAGTTCGGGCAACGCCGGGCAGTTTGGACCGGCGATAAATAATATCCGTTAAACAGACATCGCCTCGGGCGTGACGCGTAAAAATATTCGACCGTTGTTCGCCGAATAATTTGAATCCCAGGGGCAAATCCGAGTAAATCCGACAATCGGAACCGAAGCGAAGAAATTCGATTCCGGCGAAGTGTCTCTGTGCTGCGGGCAACGCGGCGGCAATTCCGCGTCTCCGACGAGGCGCCGACGTCGCCAGCTGATTTCCGCGCGCGCTCGCGAGCCGCGCGTTGAAACCGGAGCTATCGATTCTCGAACTCGCGCCGAGCGACGCGGGCGGACCGCGCGTTCCAGCGCGGGGAAAACACAAAAATCGCTCGTCATTCGGTTTCCCGATATAACGAATCGTCGAGGCACTCGTCAGAGATGACAGCGACATATATTGATGTATTGTTGCGCGCGACAAGACCCGCCCGATTGTGTCCCGCTGTAACTCAATTACCCGCACGCGAAATTCGAACGTAAGAGCGAAAGCGTGCCCCGCGATGGAATCTCTTTTCGATTAAAATTACAATTTTATCCCCGGCTTCGTCCTCTCTCGATTTGATTCGCGGCCGCGCGTCGCGCGCCGAAATAGAAGACAGAAACGCACGTCGAGGTTTCAAGAGTCGCTTCAAAGGTGAATTTCCATTCAGTTGCAGAACAAAGGGAAATGTCGGCCGACGTGAGAGCTGGTCGACCCACCATGCCAACGATTCCGCACTCCAAAAGGCCTACAATCTTGGTGTATCCTACGGGTAAGGACCAACATTCCCAGCCGAAACTGAAGCCAACGGCACGCGATACTACTTTTCCTACTGGATTGCTTGCGAGAGCCAATAAGGATGCAGTCTTCCCGAGTCGAGTGCTTGGTCCCGGAATGGACCTCAATTATTCTACACTGTCTTCATTTGGGCCTGGGAGTCGGTTTGAAACTCCAGTTTGAGGCCCAGATAAGTGAAAAACTGGTGTTTAAACTCGTGCCAATCCTCAAAGAGAATGCAATAAAATATGTCACCCTCTTTGAAACCTGTTGGGCCGAAGAGGATCCACCGGGCCTCTGTTGATTACACTCGCATTGACCTCTTTACCGCTAAAAGGGGGAATAGTCTTTTCAGACCTATCTGCGGTCAAAACTGCAATATATTTTCTCACAAAGACCTTAATTCGACCACGCACCTCCCAATTCAAAACTTATACGAGGCTAAGCTGAGGCCAAAATATTCGACTCGGGTTAGATCAGATGACTTAAGGCTAAGTCCTGATTGGGTCTCGTAAGCGATCCAGTAGGAAAACAAGTATCGTACGCCGTTGGCCCAAGTTCCGCTTTATTAGGAGGAAGCACACGGCTTGTGTCGCATCGGCATTATCTCGAGTGGCGCCGGTTTCATTTAGAAAACCCGGTAGATTAACTGCGCGAGGGGGATGACGTTTAATTAGACGCTTGTATGAAGTATTAGATCGCGCCTGCGGCGATGTTAAATTGCGAACGAGTAGCTGGAGAGGGGGGGTGGGGAGAGACAGCGGATTGATAATGTAATTAGCGTCAGCCATTCACCCGTTGTACGGCCCGTGCTTTACGGCGAATTACGAGAAACGCGAATCCGCTAACAAGTTAGCGGTGTGTTAATACAATAACGCAGCACTGTTATCCGATCGCTCGCCGATCAAAGGCTTCGCCCGATTGCCATTAATTACCGATGCCTGCCGCCACGTCGTGCGACGACTGGCGAACCGGCATCCGAGCGGCGAGCGAGTGGATTTCACTCGCGGGGTATAATTCGAAATTGAATTTCTTTTCCGAATGCGATTTAAGAGATTCGCAATTAATGGACTATTGATATTTAATGAACCCCGGGGAAGCATCTCTTCAAGGGATAAAAGCGCTCCGGCGTGACGGCGGAGCTATATTTGCGTCACGGTTTTCCGTGGGATTAATTAGTTGACGGTAAAACTTTGGAAACTTTAGACTTGGTGCAATCGCTGCTTCATTCAGAGCCCCCACAATAGCTCTCTAATTTCCAGCTGCGGGACAACTGCTTTCGAAAAACCGCGTGTCGATCTAAAAACGAATTCTTAATTTCCGCGAGACACGACATGGGCGACAATGACGCGACAGAAAAAAGCTGAAGGGCGTGGAATGTGCGAGGTACGGAATATTCAATCTTTTTCACGGAATATGTGATATATATATATAATTTCTGGAGGAAATTGTGTGTTAATATTCCTCGCCGATCTTCTGTACAAATTGGGTTCAAGCGTGCACGATTAATGTACAAATATTAATAATAAATTGCACGCGGCGATTGAAATTAAGATTTACCTTCCGACTATTTACGGCAAAAGTAATTTAACGAGGTCGAAAGCTGTAACTGGCCGAAAGTTGTATTGTATCTCGTTTTCTAGAAGTTGCGCGCTATCTTGATTAAAAGTTCTCAAAAGAACCTGGATTTTCTTTGCATCGCGTAAGAAGAATAGCATACTGTGTAAGGCTAAATCAAGCTCTATGTATACACTGACAAAAGGGCGCTTAATCCAAAAGAGAACTGGGACGGTTTTATTGAGAGATGTCGACACTATTACATTATGCGTTATGCAAAAGTTTTAATCGAACAGTTCTCTGCCGTAGTCGAGAGAAAGTCAGGATTTAAGTTCTTTTAAATATGAACTGTGAAAGTCTAATCAGTACCATCTTAAGCCCCGTCTTATAATACCCGCTAATTCGATCCGAACGAACTTCGTTCTCTTATTACATGCTTGAAAATTTCATGAACTGACAAACTTTCGAGAAGAGCATGCCCTTTTTGTCCAGTGATATAGGATCCGTGTCATGACCTGGAATTATACGAACTACTGTTTAAGTGCGCGCCCCTATTATGCACATGGGTGACAAAAGTAAAACTAAAGTTGCGTGGCTTTCCGCGTGCAAGATCGTATTCGTGTATCTAGTAAATTTATCAATTATCGAATTAACCCTTCGAAGCATACATTCTTCTATTGAACCGTTCTTTGTGAAACTTTGTATACAAGGGTTTTTGAGGTCACCGATTACGAATCCGTTGTCAGATTTTCATAATTCAAAATGGCGGAATTGAAAACTTAAAAGAATAACATTATTCAACTGTAATTCAACTATGCCAGGAAACATTATTTAGATATTATTAGGAACCATGGAATCTAAATTCCAGTTGAAGATTTTTATAGAATATGAAAAATAGCGCGCGCGAAATGGCGGATGCAGAATTGAAATTTGATCAATTCTTAGAATTTACTCATTCTTGGTACTTTTTATGTTCTTTTATTGCTAAGATACCCGAAAAATGCAAGAAAGCCGACCTAAATGCGTTAACTAGAAATTAAATGGTAAACAAAAAGTAAAGAAGTTGAGATGATAACGTGGATTACCACCATGCTTCAAAGGGTTAAATGAACTCGATGAATTTGATACGAGATCGTGTCGAGCGAGCGAGATGTTGTAAAAAGTAGTAATTTCAAGAGCGGAATATTTGGCAAAAAATATCGCCAGTGAATAAAAATGCCCCGTCGAAAGACATTGATTCAAGTTGTTAAGAGCTTCAAGCACGTCGCTGGAAAAGATAAATACCTTACCGCGTTTGTGCCGCGAGGGAGTCATATACGTGTAATAATAGTAATGGAAGAAAATTAATGCTAATTTACGGCCAAGTTCTAACGTGACCAATTTGCATCTTTTAGTTACGCCGGAGAGCATAATCATACCCATCGTGTCCTGTATTCTGGGGTTTCCGTTGCTGGCGCTGATGGTAATTTGCTGCCTACGGAGGAGAGCGAAGCTCGCCAGGGAGCGAGCCCGGCGAAGAAACTGCGATTTGGATCACGGCGCATTGAGCCTCGTCCGTTTCAGCCCGGTACATCGCCTAGGTGAGCACCCGCCGAGTTTAAAAGTGAAACTAGGACACGCGCGCACGCGGAGCTTATGTTCGCCGTGTGAATGGAAACACTGAATAGAAACCGAATCGCTCGTGCAAAATTAAATGCGCGACACTAATCAAACCGGACGGAACGTGTGGACCGGTCGCGGGAAAATTATTAGCCGTTTTAACGACACGCTTAACGATATGCGCGACAGTCTTTCTCGAATTTAATTTTACGAATATACCGTGCCTGGTACACCCAGAAAAACGTTTCTTCGAAATCGAACAAATTTTCTTTGAACTATGACATTACTGGACTTTCATTTAGCTACAAAGAAATGACGTCTGTACCTTAACCAAAATTTTATTTCATTATGACTGGAATCTCTAGGAGAATTCATATTTATTTCTTTCAATCTAGCAAATGTCTTGGTAGAAGTACATAAAAGTTCAGAAAAACGTGACTTCAACGTATCTCATTTGTTTAACCTAAATAAATCTTTTTTCTGGGTGTATATTTTTAATTACACATATATACAGGGCGTTCAAAAAAGGTGGAGACCCCTGAATAACCCCGAAAATATGCAAGATAGAAACAAAATGTTTCTGAACATTTTCTGAACAAAACATTTTGTTTCTATCTTGCATATTTTCGAAGTTATTCAGGGGTCTCCACCTTTTTTGTACACCCTGTATAATTCATTATAAAAATATAATAATGCTATATTGCTGACCGTTGCCTTTAAAATATAAGCACAACTTGTCGATATTCATAACGGCATGACGTTGATTAGAAGATACCATAAATTTAAATCGTATTTATAGAGGAAATGCAGGAAATGCGATGCAACAGCGTTCGCTCCAATTTTTTCGTCCCCCCCCCCTCTCTCTCTCTCTCTCTCTCTCTCTGCACATTTTTTCCTCGACTCTCTGACTGACTGAATACACGCATACATAATAAGCAAGTACTCTCTTGTGACGGCATACAAATGCACTCGTAAAGAGTTAATACCGGTCGTACGCGACTATTGAAATAAACATAAAGAGGAAGAGCCTCTCCAGATTTAATTCCGGCATGAACACACAAATTCCGTGTTCCTGCGCAACAGCGGATATTTTCAGCCCAAGACCACGCGGTAGACGCTCTTTTTCGCGCTCAAGATACTCGTAAAATGCCCCGCGAAAAAAAGCAGAGCGCGAAAGATGCATGAAATATTATTTCCGGATCGAAATCAAGTGCATCGGATTATCCGCCGATACCGAAACGCCGCAAGATTTGCACCCTTAACTCTTTGAAGCATACATTTTTCTATTGAATTATTTTTTTGTGAAACTTTGTATACAAGGGATTTTGGGGTCGCTGATTACGAATCCGTTATCAGATTTTCATAATTCAAAATGGCGGACCCAAGATGGGGGAATTCAACACGTAAAAGAATAACATTATTCAACTATAATTCAACAATGCTAAGAAACATTGTTTAGATATTATTAGGACCCATGGAATCTAAATTCCAGTTGAAGATTCTTACAGAATATAAAAAATAGCGCGCGCGAAATGACGGATGCAAAATTGAAATTTGACAATTTCTTAGAATTTACTCATTCTTGGCACTACCCAGAGTTAACAACGCGGACGTGATGAGTCCCTAAATACCATAATCAAACGAAACGGCCAAGAAGTAAAGAAGTTGAGGCGGTAGCGTGGGTTACCACCATGCTTCAAAGGGTTAAAGTCGCGTGGGTCGTCGAAATCACTGTGTCGGGTGAATTTTTTACGACAGCAGCGGAAATAAATTTCTTATCAGGGGGCAAACCGTGCGGCGGTATCGCGACGGGGATAGATCTGTCGCGCCGCTCTATCAAAAATTGGATCTTACATCGTTCATTGATAATCCATTTCCGCGGAGTACACGCGGTGCATAAAATATGGCGCTCCGGGGAGAGCGCCATTTCCCTCGCGAGACCACGCGACACCTTATCCGGGCGCGATTTTACGTGTGCACGTGCATTTCCGCACACGCGGTCGGGATATGCATCCACGAGGATGACCGCATTATTATCTCCTCCCTCTTTCTGCCTCTCCGTTCGTATCCTGAAATTTGCTTTACATCGGGAGGTTTTTGTTATCTGGCATCCGGCACTTTTTTCGCCGCGCGAATAGGTACCACAGCGCGGCAGCGAATATTATGGCAATAAACGTCGTTTTCGCATAAAAGCATTTGCATCGCTAATACACTCCCGACGTCGTCCATTTACATATTGTTTGCGGAAGTATCGGTAAACAATCGCGCAGCTCGGTGAACTAATTTATTCGCGTTATCGTCACTCCGAATCGCCTGCTGATAAATGCTACGACGTGTAAAATTAATAATATCACATTGTATAAATTACTTTATTGAATTCAGAATCGGGATAGATAATTCGACGCGCGTGCCGATACATCGAAAGGCTCGGCGGAGAAGGACGTCAACTTCCTTTCGCTTATTAACGGCGATATTATTTTAATTAACGGGCAGTGCATGCGGCAAATGAACGTGTAATTAACAAAACTACCTGAACGTATAATACAATAACGTAGTAATATTTTGCAAACGACGCGTCGTTAAACATCGCCCAAATTTGTAGGTGCGTATAATGGAAGCGTAACGTGACTCGAAATTATTTATGCGACGTGCACGCGATCATTTTTATCGCGCGAACAAGTCGCAAATTTAATCTTTATTTCCAGCTCGATGCCTTTTTTCAGAATTTCCCTGATTTAGAACTCGAGACAACGATACGTTGCTACCGTTAAAAAAAGGATCCTCTGCAACATAATGTCAGAAAGATGGGACAATATTGAAAATAACGTGGAACGTTTAAATTAAATTCTTAGCAAGACTTTCTCGTACGGTATATACGTGTTGAGTTAAAATGCAATCTCTCTCTCTCTCTCTCTGTGCGTATCGACCAGCGCAAAACGAAAAACGCAATTTTACAGCCGACGCAATGCACTTGAGTGCGAAAGAGCGGATTTATTTCTTCACGTAGCGTCAGTACGCTCTCTCTCTTTCTCTCTCTCTCTCTCTCTCTCTCTATCTCTCTTTTCCCTGTCCCTTTCTCCCTTTCCCAACGGCTAGCAAAAAAGTTTTTTATGTTCCTTGCGTGGACGATGCACCGCGTAAGGCATTGTGTCCGCCGCGACCGCCACAAACCCCCGATTTACGACAATCCAGTCGACGCCAGACAGCAGACGGTCGTTTTGGATCACTATTTAGTGCACACAGTAGCCGAGGCATAAAATTTACCGACCGCAATATTCATTCTCCAACGAGAGATCGTCCGCCGAAAAGCAGAAGATAGATGCACCATGAATATCACATGAGTAATGTACAAATTTAGCACAAGTTGTTTTTTGCTGGATACTAGTTTTTCAGAGATATGAAAAAGAGTGACGTACACACCGTCGTATGCATAACAAATTTCACTTGTAGCCTCTTTAAAGCGAGAGAGAAATTTAAAGCTAATTTTTTTCCGGTAAAAGTTTAACCAAATGACTTATGGTCTCACATTCGTTTATAATTTTTAACAATAGCCGTCTTAACGACTGAGTGAATAAATTAAAAGTTGAAGGAAAAAGATTTTATTACAGCTGTTCGAGTCTCTGCGGTTTATTTGCATAAAGAGCGTAAAAGTGATTTCTTTTTGTAATCGCTCGCAATTTTGAAACGCTAATTCGTATTTTACGTTTGCAGTTTTTGTCAGAAGAAAATTGATCGTAAATTGCACAAGGAATTTATACACGGAGAGAATTTTCTCTTAAAGTTTTTCCTGAAAATTATGCAATCGTGGGACAACATGGCATTTCGAACAACTTAGAACAAATTTTACCATACATTTTACTAGTAAAATGTATACCAAGTATAATTACTAGTGAAATGTATGGTAAAATTTCAGAAAACTCGCATAAACTTCTTCGAAATGCCGCGTTGTCCCACGATCGCATGGTTTTCGAGATAAATTTTAAGAGAAAATTCGGTCCGTGTGTAAAAGTCAGTTGAGAGTTTATCGAAAATGTCATGGAGCAGCCCGAATATATACATTTTTGTGACACGGCGACATTACTAAATGTTTTGTTTTCTCTTATTCGAGTGCCTCTCCGCAATCAAAATTTATTTCCGCGGATGAGAATAGAATTCATGCGTGCGCCAAAGCACGCGAAAAATGAATGAAAAATTGTTAACAGCGGAGAGGGATGGAAATCCACTTACGATTGTACCAGGAAACTCCCTAATTCTCGTTAAAGAGGATTAAATTTCGCACGCGGTGTAAACATAAATCAGGTATCTAAATTTGCCCGTTGAGAGTAACATTTATTTTCATAATGTAAAGGCATATACCCGTATATATTTTTAGAATAAAATTTCACCGTACGAAATTAATTCGCACTAAAAGGTTTATTTATGTTGGCAAGCGCAGCATCGAAAGAGGATTTAGGTAAAATATATAGTTAATAGCATCGCTCGATTCCTAGAAATCTGCCCGGATGTATATTTTATGACGATTAGCAATTTCTTTGGCGTTTGAAAAACAGATTGTTTTTTTTTTTATTAAATACCAGCGCTTGCGGCTTGTCGCATCGTGCCATGGGATTGAATCGAAATCGAATTAGAACGCAATTAGGTTTGTACAAGAATGAGATATAACATTATTTAGAGCGCGACTGTGTTTCCACTGGAAATAAATTAAAATGGATGATGTGCTGCGCGGGAAAGCTCGCTTGACAATTTCACTTTCGTTTCGTGAAAATAAGCGCAATGCAACCTGTTTCTTTCTTGTTAGACAGAAAAGACGGAATAAAAGCTACATTAGATCTGCATGATTCGTTTGTGCGTAAATTAGCTTAGCCAGCGTAGGAATCTTAGAGATTCTCGTAGATTGATTCACGTAGAAATTTCCGATGTCGAGTGGCCCCGTCGATCGACATAATGGCAAATCAAATATCCGCCGGTGGGTATTCTTGGAATTTCGATAATCGCGAGCGGAGCTAACGAGGCGGGCGATGGGAAGGGGATTATTTTTATTCGCGTCGCGCCAAGCGCACTCGCGTATCGTCCTTAAGCGCCGTAAATAATTGAGGTCGTTAAAATTTGCAAGCGACAGCGCGAGCGTGTTCGAACCAAAGTTCGATGACGTCATTTCTTTACAATGTGCAACTTACATGTGTCGTCGGCATTCCCGCAGCTGGCGTCGATCGACCGGCACGTACGGTGTCCTTGAGGGGCGATCGAGGATCCCGCGCCTTCTCATCCCTGGAGCTGGACACCGTCGTCGAGGAGCGTTCAGATCCCGAGCAGAGCACGGCCCTTGAATTGAGCAGTCCCGATTAGCATCCGGCTTCGGCGCCGTCGAGGTAATGGCGAGATGGTACAAAAATTACTCGCCAAGACAAGAGGAGAGTCGACCCCGATAGGAAAATGTCTCAAATATTATGTAATAACCCAGATAGCACAGGACACTCCTATCAACATTTTAAGAATATTCTTCAAGAATGTCTGGAATACTCCATAGGTCATTCTTATATATTTCTCTTACGTTCGTGGGACATTCGACTGGCACTACTATAAATCTTTTTCGAATGTGAATAGAATAATCTATCGAATATAGCGCGCGCGCGTGTCAGTTATACAGGGTGAGTCATTTTAATCCATCCAGTCGAATATCTCGAAACCAAACAACTTTTGTCTGAAACATTTTTCTTTCACGGGCTTGGTTTTCGAGATATTCGACTGGATGGATTAAAATGACTCACTCTGTATATAATCACTGCTTTCGCTGCCTTTTGCATAAGACAAGTGTACTATACAATGAACAACGTGCAATACATAAACTCGATGAATATTAAAAAATTATTCTGAACGAATACTCCAAAGACATTCTCGACTATATTTGTTATAAATATACGGTTTCTAATTGTAATAATCTATATATATTTATAGAACATTCGATTGGAATATTCTGAAATTAAGAATGTTTGCGCTCCAGAAGAATATTCATAGAACTATGTGTGCTATCTGGTAATTGCATCATCCAAAAGGAGGGAACTTCACAATGATTGAGTTAAGGTAATTGACCAAAATCGCGGCGGGTTTGTAGGAATAAAATTTCTAAATGGTATTTGCCCAAAAATTGACAAACTCTTCTGTACCAGAACGAACTGGTACTTTGAGCATTTGGTTTTACTTCATCTTCGATAGGCTACTAACCTTGCCGAAAAAAATGTCCAACCTGGAGGGGTAGGTGTGGCAGGATACTTTCGGTGGTTGCCACTTTCCTCCGAGAAGTGGCGTCCGAAGAAATCGGCGGTGTCCGTGGCTGGATTTGAAACTCGGGTCTTTTCGTTCGTTTATTTTCTCTGTGCCACGTGTCGTCGCGTATCGAGATACGTTATCGCCACTCGCGCGGTACGAATCTTTCCGATTTCGAATCGATATCCCCTTCACGGGAACGCGAAGTTTCAGAGTTAATGAAGAGGAAGCGTCTCATCTATGAACAATATCTCGCAAAAAGCCTGAACGGTGGAGCGGCGTGCATTAATAACTGCAGTACACGAGCTCGTCTCGACGTACGGATTAACGCGCCGTTAAATTGGACGTTAATTAGCGGAAATCACGACGCGGATTCGATATTTCCTGCGAATCGGATCATAAAAGACTGCAAAAACACACGAAATGGATATTTATCCTTCATCCATCTCCCACGTAATAAAAGTCTCTAATTACAATTGCAAATGCATTCGACGTGTTTTCCTCGCGGTACAGGGATTTCTGTAAAATCAATTTTTTTAAATAACAAACTACGCGAAAGCTGTGTTAGACCCAATCGCATCGCTCAAGGGCCGATTCAAGCGAAGCTGCGTCGTACATTAACAATTGTACACTAACTCCATTCGATGCGCGGCGAAATATTAAACGGCTTCGTTAAAACAACGAACGTCGGACTGTTCGTTAATTAGCGGAAACGGTTCGATTGAATTCGATGTTTTCTGTGAAGAAGGCGCTCGATTAATTAAACGACAGCGAAAACGTACGGAGTGACTACTTATTTCTGGCACGCCTCGTGTAGTAAAAGTTTCTAATTAACTTCGAGTCAATACTCCTTTCGGAAAAGAGAAGCGAGGGGAAATGAAGATAAAAAAAGATAAAAAAAGAGAGACTAAAATAATTAAATACGTAAATGTTTCTACTGAATCGCGCCGGGCGGGAGATAATTCGAACGGAAGTGCTATGTGCACCGATAAATATATACAAGCTCCAGCCGATTCGCAAATTAAACGACCGACCTTACGTTAACGCAACAGAAAAGCAGTTAACGAACTGCATAAATAATTGTACTGAATTAATCGAGAAATAATTCGAACGGCGGAGCTGCATACATTAATAAGGGTGTAGAGGCTCCACGTGATTTGCAAATTAAATGAGTGAGCGACGACAAAGCATTTGAAAAAATAGCTAATTGACTGCGCATAAATATACTTGTGTTAAAATTAATCGCGTCGATCAAAAAGTAATTCGAAGCGGAGTAATGCGCATTAATAATAGCACACACATTCCGCCCGATTTGTAGAATGGACGGACATTGCATTGAAGCAACGAAAAGAGGTCGATTTCTTTCGCTTGAAGGAATGCAAAATTTTTACCACACAAGTTTTTGTGTTAAAAGCACTCGTACCAAATGTTCGCATGGTGCTTACGCATTAATAAACTTGTACGCAAGCTCTGTCGTGCGATTCGCAAATTAAATGACTGATATTACGCTGAAGCGGCTGGAAACTAGCTAATTAGACAAAAAGAATAAACAAAATACAAAATAGGGAATTACGTAAACACTCAAATCGTCGAAAATGAACTCAAACAGTAGAGTTGTGTGCATTAATGAACTTTAGGTCGTTTCGTAGATCGAGCAATTAGTACTGCGTTTGAAGCAATGAAAAAAAAATAGCTAACTACATCTTTGTGTAGAAAGCAGTCGTGCCAAGCAAGAGTCCGTGCGGTGAAATTCTGCGCGGTAACAATTAAATGTGTA